AGGTCAATCAAGTATCTTGTGACCTTTACTATGGTCGGACGGACCCTTTCCTTGTATCCAATGATGTGTTGGTAGCATGTCCTGTATCCATTTGACCAACACATATGACTTATGGTAGATCCCAGGTTCTTATAAAGCTGAGGAAATGCATTCAGACATGTGAGATGGCCAATAGGAGCTTGTTTATCAATCTTGTCCAACGTGTTTCATATTATCCAATCAGAATTAGTGAGATTCGTACTATCCAAAATTTTAGGATCAAGCTGGACTAGGCAAAATTCCCTAGAAAGCCATGAAAAAGATGGCTCTAAGAGGCCACAACTCTAGTCGAAGGGTAGAAAATTGAGTTCTTTGATTGGAATAAAATCTCTGTTATCTTCACTATAGCTGAGAGGTAAGAGGTACTCCACAGTTAATCCTTTTTCCTTTAAGAACTTTCTTGCCATTGGTAGTAAAGGTGGGAGCTGAACTTTGCAGGTCACAAGAGTTCAGTTTTATTCAAAGGAAGTTGTAAATAAGAGGGAGAGGAAGTGTGGGAGTTCTGAGAGAACTTTTGAGTTGGTTTAAAGAGAGTAATAAGACTTTATTAGCAAGGAAGTATAAAAACTTTTTGCGAACATCTTTTTTGTGTTGATCAGAGAATCAGTGGAAAGAGTTGTTGTAAAAGGCCTAAATTATATTGCTGTTCTACTTATTCTTGATTAAGATACATGATTTTTCTATAGGAACTTGAATTGTGTATTGTTTATTGACTATGAATGTGAAGGATTTTGACAATATATCTTTTTCTTCATCTAGGAAACACCTCGTATATTTTTTCAGTAAGAACTGTTCTCCTATTCTAATGTAGTATTTATAAATTACTATATTGAAACTCTCATTATATTTCTTTCTTCTATTATTTCTCTATTCTGCTTAAGTGTTACTTATCAATGGGATTTGTAAGAATTCTCCATTATTAAGAACCTGTCTTGATTATATATCTGAAATTCATCAGTCTCATTTTTTATTCTGTTTTATACTCTGGCTATTATTGCAAGTTTTTTACAAGATGCTTGTACTATCCTGGTTTTTTTCTTTTCCTTATTTTATTGATGGCATACAGTTTTCTTTAATATAGTATTTGTGTCTTTGTAAAGTTAATTATTTGTTCAATAAACATTAGATTATGTATTTTTAATGCCTATCTGTGTTAATAATATATTGATTTCAGTATTGTTTTATCAATTATATCATTCTTTCTACCAATCCTCTAGGGTATTAAAAAATTTGAGTTGAGATAAAACTATAAGTCATGTTTTTTAATACTTACAGGATACTATAATCCAAGTTCTAACCTGTTTTGAGGAAGGGCTAGGTAAGATGAGTTGTTACTATATTTATTGACTAGAACAGATTTTGTAGATTCTGGAATTATATTTTGGATATTTGTTCTAGCATCCCTTTATCCTCTATTTTATCTAACCAGATTCTTATGTGGAGTTACAATTGTTAATTTCACATATAACTCAAGTTATGTTCAGTATAATTGAATAGTAAGGTATTGGGGATTGTGTTGATAAAATCATATTTATGTTTGTATCTTATCATAATCTTCTCCATTAAAGTATTGTACTCATTTTTAGATAGTACCATGTCATTTAACATGTATTCTATACTTGTAATAGATACATAATTTATTATATACCTTATTTGTTTATCTGTAGTTGTTTTTCCATCCAATCAACTTGCATGTTTTCTTCACTTTTTCTGTTATAAGTTGCTTTAATAGTCTTTTTTTTCTAAAATGTCTAGTCATATATCTAGTATCCTTATTAGATTGTTTGGCTTGCTGTTTTTTATATTTCTTTCTGAGTATTAGTTTCTTTTTAAAGTTTTCTAGTTATATATTAATGATTATTAACTATAACTTTCGTTTATTAATATCAATAGTATTGTAATTGTAAATCTCTATGGCTATGTTCAGGATCTTTTGTATCTCTTCTGAATTGTCTACTAGTCACATTATATCATTTATATAAGCAATGGCCTTAATATCTAAATATTTTATCTTGTAGGACCCTTTGTTGTTTTTTTTGAACTCTATCATATATCAGTATCTTTTTCTTAATTGTTTGACTTTTATCAGAAGTAGATTATAGTAGATGCACTATAATAAAAGAGAGATTATATCCCTTTAGTCTATTCTATTTAGTACTTTATAGCTAGAACTCGGTCTATATACTGTTATGACTTTGTTCTCTCTTTCTCTAAGTAGTACTTACAGTATATGATATTTCTTATCTTTGATAATAGTTTGATTTGCTTTATGGTATATTTCAATATTTTAGTATTGAGGTTTTGACTTAAAATCCATAGTTTTTTCTTATCTCTTCTAGCTTGCTCTATACATAAATTAATTATGTATATGGGGACTTATGTATTACTGCCTAGTAATGTTACCCAGTTGGATATATTAAGAATATTATATTTTTTGCAAATGAATGATAAATAGTCACTAATTATTTTATGAAGATTTTTCTTTCTATGAAAAATAATATAATTGGTCTGATTATCCTGAGCCTGCTATGCTTATTTATTAATTTGAAAATAAAGTATATATATTTTGTGCTCCATTTCTTTAATGTCTTCTCTTATATAAGAATTCTATTATAGAAGTTTATAAGTTATATTAGTTTTTTTTTTTTGTAAACCCTCTATCAGACTAGGTATGTGTACTTTATTAAACATATGTATACTTTACATTAAAGATGTATCACTAAAGCTAAGTCTTTACCTAATTCACTTGTCTCTATTTTAAGAATTATTAAAACTCTAAATATAACTTTGGAAATAATTTATCACTTTATTAGCAGTTCAAATAAAAACCCTTGCGCAAGACAAAAGAATTATTGGGGAATCTGACCTTTTGAATAATAGAAAATGTGTATCAGTAAAATTTATTTAATTAGACATAGCTGCTAAAAGATATCACACTAAAATAACATGACCTAATTCTTACTAGGTCATATAAGAATTTGAAATCTATTATAAGTCATCTCGATACTATAGGTGAATAAAAAATTACTGTTTAAAGAAAGTTGGAACCAAGTATATTTTGGAAGTAAAGGTTACTACTAGGTAATAAATCTTCTTGGATGGTACACAATAAGAAAATTAAGATTAAGAATAGATAAGTTTTTCAGATAGTCAGAAAAAGAAAGAATATCCCAATCAGTTATTTCTTATTAAGAAGAGGTCTTGAGAAGTAAGTCTTTGAAGAAAGTTAGAAATATTTTTTTTAATTTTTACTCTTTTATTTTCTTGTTATCTACTTAGACATTTTTAAATATTCTCTTCTCCTTTTTCAATCCATCTTTTTGTAGTTTCTTATATTCCAATAGCTTGGTTAAACATATAGCAGTAATAATCTGCTGGCAATAATACAGTGGACTAGGTGAGTTTTTATTCAAAGACACTGCGAAATGAAATATTGTTTTCAAGATCGAACTTAAAGGCTTTTATGCTTATGATGAATTAGTTAGATTATAATAATAGTTTAGCTATAATATATATTATACTACTCAAATAAAAATGTATTTTGTTTTCAATTGATTAATAAATTGACAATCTAGTTTGACTACGAATGCTCAAAAAAAAATTAATAATGTTAAATAAGAAAGGTATTCTTTATTTAGTGACTTGAACTTCCATTTTTCTTTTTCTTTTACTATTTTTTCTTTACTATAGTAATATTTTTATTTGTTAATTTTTCTTTTTCATATTTATCTCAATATCTAAGTTATCAATATAAATTATTTTTATAATTTCTTGATTCTATTTTGCTTAATAACTACTTATATTGATATGTTTATTATTAAAAATTTCTTCTATTTCTTTACTTCAGTTTAAGGTCTTATTTGAATTTACTGAAAAGTCAAAAATTATAGTCTTGATTTTGGATATTTATACTATAATTTGAATATTATTATCTTTATTGTTAATTTTTTTTTCATGGTTTTTTGTTATATTATTCAAAGATTTTATATTTTTTTTTTATAATTCTCAATATTGTTTTTTTAAATAACTTGCTAATATTATTTTTTATAAAGATGTTTTATTATAATTAAGTCTTTATTGAGCTTTTTTACTTTGAAAATTCTTTTGAGATAACATTTATTATTCTCTTTTCTTTTTCTTTAAAAATTATTATAAAAGAAAATTTTTTGAAAAAAATGAATCTATTAAAATGATTTTTTTTTGTTATTTATTAATTAATAATTATTTTTTTATTATAATAACTTTTATAATAGCTTAGAATTTTTCTAAATTTATTATAAACCTATAGCATATTAAAATTATATTTACTTAAATCTTATTTATAATTGGATACAATTCAATTTCAAATTAGTAATAAAATAAATATTAAATTTAAATTTTTTAAATATAAATTTATCAATATTTCAAGAAATATTTTGTAAAGCTTCAACATTAGATAAGTTTAAAAAACATATTGATTATTATTTTGTATTACCATTATTTAAAGCTATTCAATGTTTTAATTCTCAATCTTTACAAGTTAATCAAGTAAGATATAATATTCAAAGATAGAGTAAAATCAAAGAATTTAAAAATTCTAGTAGTATTATTTTATTTGAATAAGAAAATTCATTATAAATTAAATGAAGATTTTGAAGAATATAATGAATCAAATTTAGATAAATATTGAAATAATAAAAAAATCATCTTTCAAATTTGTCTAAAATAACATTAATATATATTTGACTTCCAGTATCTGGGTCAATGTAAAAAGAAGCTTTTATCTTATAGAAATATTCTTAGTAATAATTTCCATCTTAAATTTTTTATATTTAATAAGAATTAATAAAATAATAAAAATTTCTTAATTACCGCACGCATATTTTTGATTGGCCAACGCACATATGCGGCCCCCTAGTGTATAATGATCTCGTGTAACCTATGTTGATTGACGCGACCAATTTACCAATTTTCAATTTGCAATGGATTACTTTCGCGTTAACAATCCTTCTAGTTGGTCTCTTATAAGCTTTTTAAAATGGAGATCAGATAACATGACCCTAAAAGATTGCGCTCAAGAACACGGTACATTTAAGTATTCACTTAAGTACATCCTATGATAAAAACGACATTCGTACACAGAAAGCAAAAGAACTACTTTATAATTGGAATGTATGTTTCATGGTTAGGCTCAGTTGACAGGTCAAGAGCACGCCCTAGTAGCATTTTATGGATCCTTGAGTTCCGCACTTTGGGTACAATTGTCCTTGAGTCAGTTGGTTTTTGGCAGACCTTGAGTTATTGCTGTGACACATTGGTGGTCCTTGAGTCACCCAATGTTGGACCTTGTTTAGTCCCGTCACAGTTTGTCAACTTTGCCTCATTATTTAATGCTTTTTCCTAGATATTAAGGATTGTTATTAATTATTGTATTTTTATGTTTAAGAATATTAAATATTCTTCGGAAGTCAGGAAATTCTGGGGTGATAACAGGTTTCGAAATTTACGTCAAGATATTGAATATTCTAAAACTTATAATGAACTGAAGTTGATCCAAATTGAATCTGAAGATGTAGGATTTTTTTTTACCCTTTGCTTGTTACCAACATCTAATAGATTTTTTTTTGCTAGTTAAATTACGTTCTGGATCGAAGCAAAAATTTGAATTACATTACAATCGAAAATAAAAGAAAAGCGATATTGGAAAAGGTATATGTGCATTTTTAGTTATAAATCCAAAAAGAAACTCATTGTATTTCAATATTTTTAGGATAGCGACTTTGAAGAGAACACTTCCAAAAAAGCTCGTCAAGACAAAAATGATATAAACGCTATACTACCTACACCAGAAAACAATGTAGCAGTATTTTCAATTGTGTTTTCATCTCATTACGTATAGTAAATTTATTTTCCCTTCTCGTTATCTAGTTCTTGGATCTAGATGTTAATGATGGCGACGATAATGATGTTGACGATGAAAGGCGAAAGTTTGTACGGCAGTTTAGTGAACCAGTCGATGATGAATTTGATGAAGGAGAGTTCTTAAAAGAACTCATTACTACAGAGGTTTGTTTTATTGTTCTTGTATTTCCATTTTTTTTTTTTTTTTTCGCATAGTTTGTACCTTTATTAATTCACCACTCAATGTCATAGAAAGTTACAAATCCAATTGTCGAAAAACTTCTCAAATATGGTAAAGGCATCGCAAGGTATAAAATAATATTTTTGCCTGAAGATAACAAGGAAGATCCGATAAGGAAGCTTCTAAACGACCAAGAATGGGCGGCATCTGAGCATAACTGGAAAATGGTCTGTTCTTTCTTTGTCTTTTTTATCATTAACAATTTAGTTACCAAGTAATGGCATTCACAATGATTTTTCTTTAGGCTGAAAAAAGAATAACCAATTCCTTTTCATTTGTGATACCAGAAAATATAAAGAATCTCTTAACTAGATATGACAAAGCTATCGAAGAACAGACAGTTGGATTTGAATCAAATATTAATAAAATATCATTAGTAATAAACGAAAATCCATTTGTGAAGGAAAGAACGGAATATGTGTTTAAAAGAGACTGGCTTCTTCACTGGACCCAGCTAGTGTATACTTCGTTGTAAGGATACCATTATATCGATAAGCTATTCATCTTGTATGCTATTATTATACTGACTTTCATAAAATTATGAAGCATCACTATTTTTCAGATGCCAAATGATTTTTTTCGCGATTCAGGTTTGTCTGAATATGCTTATCGTGACCGGGTAATCAATAAATTGTGGGAAGATATTTTTTTGGATGTTAGCCCTGAAATTTACGTGCGAACGTAAGTATCTTTTTGTCCGTGCATATTTACATATTTAAAATGTATAGTATACCAATATTATATTAAATTGATAATCAATCAGTGGAGAAATAGAGAATTTCGATAGAAAAAATCAGAAGGATCGTTCAAGAGCGCCAGGACAGCAAAGAGCAACTGGATGGTACCATGATGCAATATTTATAATAAAAATTTTGAGTATAGAAATTCAAATTGGTTTTGGTGAAGTTGTTGGTAACCCATGTAGACATGACGACAAAAAAAAAATGGATGAAGACAAGGAAAAAATTCTTAAAGGTAAAAAAATCAAACGAGCGCTTTTTTAATTTTCACCAACGAAAGAAAAGTTGAATATTTTGTTTCAATTAGCGATGCAACTATCTCTTTACAAGTTGCGAAAATTATTGTTGGAAAAAAAAGTTCCGAATGAGCATCTAGAAAAGCTGGAAACATTTGGCATACAAGTATACAGTGTGTATTTGATTCATATTTATTACTGCGCTTTGGTTTCTAATAATTTCACTTTTAATTTAGAGAGGGATTTCATCATATATTCGGCCCATTGGATAAATGGTCTTTATCTAGTTGACCAAGTTAATGGGTTTACAATTCCTAACACCAAAGATCAATTAAATGAACTTTCGATCATCATCCAAGCAATGTTGGAATTCAAGGTATTTTCTTTTTTTATCTTATTATAATATATTACAACGGTGACCACTGTATATACAGTATATTACTACTTTTTTGACTATAATTTATATATAGTATCGTATTATAAACCTCACGAATCATATTAAGTCAATTCTGAAAGACAAACCTAAGACTTTTGGCTATCGTAAAGTTGTCGGTGAATCTAGTATAGGTTGTTCACCAATCAAGAAATCACCGGCCAATATTATAGGGAAGAAACAATAGGGTTGATTCTTTTCAATTTGCTGTATATAACAATCAATAAAAGTAAGCGCAATTTTTTACACATCGATATCATTTCATATTGTGTACAGGATCAATATATGCACACGAAAGTCACGTGTGCGTTACAATTTGTAACGCCGATCACTTTTGCCAAGAAAAATAGATATTACTGCGCCAGTGACACGAATGTCCAAACTAAATTACAGTTTACACCCGAAAAGATGTTCACTTACTTTATTGTACAAAAAAGACACAAAAATGAATTCGGATACGCTAGCCACTATGGCAATTTTTTATTGACAAATAGAATACAGTAATTAAAAAAATACAAATCAGATGGTCGCTTTTTTATTGTTATAATACACTTATCGCTGTATACATGAAAATATGTGAAACTATCTATTCTTCATTTTCAGTAATTTTTTTTGATTCAGGCCCTTTTACTAGCTGGGGAGTTATCGACTGTTACCCGATCCTTCAACAACCCAACAATGATTTCTATTATCCGCTTTATGTTACCTCGAAGTGTATCGGGATTTTCTTTGATTGCGTTTTCGAAAGATTAATCTGATATTCACATTCACTAGTACAATAAAGCCCATCTGTGGTAAAAATAATAAAATGCCATTCCGTACCTAGTATAATAACGGACGTCATTAATGAATAGTTAAAAAATCATGATATCGGGAAATCAAAATACTTTAGCTAAAAAAATCCCTTACCCGTTGATATGATCCCATAGATATAATCATAATCATCGTTTCCAAAAGATTGGTCCGCGGTTCGTTTTTATGATTTTCCCTCTCTAGTTGCATAATTTTTTGAAGATAACCAATTTTAATATTACGTGGCTTGCCTTCTGCGATACACATGAGATCTTCTTTTCCCTTGATCGCATTGTCAACACGGCCAGATGCTTCTTCACCTTCTGTAGTGATATGTAGAGCTTTTCCTCTTTGGTAAGTCTTCGAACGATGGCAAGTGACGCATGTAGGACGGAGGAAATAAATTCACAACGGGTGGCTTAGTTGGCGTCGATAATTAATATGATATTCGCCCACAGTGCTTAAACGCTTCGTCATTACCATCGATTTTTACGGAATCTATAAACAGAAAAAACTCATTATTATATGTCTGGAATTTTGATTGTAAAATTTACCAAGAAATTTCAGCGAACTAATCGCCAAAAAAAATTCGCCCAAATAATGCCAAGAAAAAATATCACATACCTGGAGTAAATTGTTTAATACACGTAATATCCTCCCCATTAACCTTATGTTTACGGTGAACTTCTTTTAATTCTTCCAAGGTTTTATATGTCGAAAAATCTCTTAATTTTTGTTCTAATATTTCTTCAACGAATTTCTAAAGTTTTATAGCTGGCCCTATCTCTAAACCACATTCACGGAAATCTTCATTAGTCATCTCAAGAGACGAAAGTCCATCAATCTCCCTCTGTCGTAGGATCTTGAAATGAAACTCTTTTAAGTTTTAGATCCCGCCTCTGTAAATAAGTTCTGTATCTAGATCCTTCACAACGTCTGCCATTGTGCGAGTTGTCCTTTCTTCCATCAAAGTGGAGGATGTAAAAACCGGTGAGGAAGGTGTGAAGACATGTTACTTTTATATTGTATATGGCGTAAAGAATCTGGCTTATGCGATGCGTTTATGTGCGTTTATGTATCTAGACTAGTAAAGATGGATAATGCAAGAAATGAGTAAATGAATCAGTAACTATTTATAGTATTTGATCATATAGATTGGCAAGTGCAGACGGGTGACACCGCATTAGGGCGATTTTTATAACGCAAAAAAATTACTACCTAAAAAAATAAACTACTGTGATCAAATTTATATTTGACCGGTGTGTCCAAGTGGAATTACTTTTAAAAGGACAATTCCCAAAGAAAGAATTAAAGAAGTGATTTATAATAAAGAAATATTCAAGAGATTCACCAAGAATTCTTTAAACAGTGTCACACAGTATTTCACAAGAAATATGGTTCGCTCAGAACCCAAGTTTATTAATAAATTAAGAAAACCAGGGCAATTCCTTTAGTCCTAAAATCAAAAGAAGATATCCAATTTTCTAAAAGAAAAGTGAAGTTATTCCTAAACTTTCAAAGTTAAATGAAGTTATATCCAAACAAACTTATCCTACTTTTAAGTGAATTATGACTGTTTATATACTTATAAAAATGGGCCACTTAGGCCTCCTGGACCTCCTGGGCTGCCTGATCTATAGTAAATTATGTCACATGCTACATTTGATAAAGTGATCTATGCTAATCAAGTACCAATAAGAATATCAAAGAATTTCAAAGAAATAATTATAAATAAATGGATAAAAATAGAAATAGAATGAAGATAACGACTAAAAATAACTATCTAATAGCATTAGATGCTATTTTTATTACAGTATGTTCTTGAATAAAAGCTTCAATCTGCATTAAATGATTCAGAGTTGATACATTGAGATTGAAGCAGATAGAAAAGATGATTTGTTGTTGAAGGTAGAAAACCATGTATGTTCTTTTCTTTTATTTGTTTTATTATGAAGAGCACTGACTTGTTGCCATTTTAGGAATCTTATTATATATAAACTGAAGAGTTGTTTGATCCAAAAAAGTCTGTATATTCTTAGAACTGTTCTGTACTTGGAGTACCAGTCTTGTTCAACATAGTCTTTTATGGGTAAAGGTTATAATTGTTGGGCCATATTCTTTATTAAATATATTATATGATATCGAGCAATACTCAAACTCATACACCAATACAAATAATATATTACATATTGTAGTATTGTTATATAAGATAATTATATAACTATGGCTAGACTATTTTTATTATAATAAAAACTATCTAATTATATGATTACTATATATAACAACCAATAAGGAAGAACATATGATACTATTTTAATTATTCTAAAAACAATTTTTAAAAGCAATTTGATTATCAGACTATTGTATATTCTAACCTGTATTTAAGATTTTAGATACTTCGGTATAATGCCAGCAAATTTTTTCTCCCACCAAGGTTATTCAATTACTAGACTTGTAAAACCCCAATAAGTGTATGTTGATATATATATGACCAGTATACAGTTTACTTTTTTGCATTAATTATATCTAGATAAGAATATCTTTTAAGATACTCTTGTGTTTGAAGTACAATTTGTTATCAGGAATTCCCTTATTTGTCCAATCTCTGAGAAGACTATCTTTCTAACTGGTAGATAAGATTCCATGTATAATATAGATTCTTACAACTAAACTAAAGGAGTTGTTGACAGGATTGTAGTTTGTTACTAAAAAAGAGCTACCTGATGCCGATCTACAATTAAAATAGAATAGATAATTGCCTGGTTTATCTTGTTTTAGTGATCTGATTGCACAAATGACTGAATTTGTATTGATATTATCAATATTAGTACTGATGAGCTTTGTTGCATTGTTTATAGTAGTGAGATGGATGACCTTTCACTTTTTTTTGAAGTTTTTGATATTTTAACTTCCATAGCTACCAGTTTGTATATACTATTGAAGTGTCTCTTTCTTGCTGAGTAGCTGTTAAAGTCTTCTTCACAGACTGTGCACTTTCATACCTTTGGAGACAGAGGTTGTTTGACTTTCAGTTATTTGTGAGTAGGTAAACCTGATTTTTTTTCTTCTTGAAGCCAATTTTTCATAGTCTTTATTTTCTCTTTTTTTTTAGAAGAGCCAGTGCTTACTTGCTAGGTGGAGGTTGCAATTTATTTAGAGTTACTATAACAAATAGAGGTGACCCTTCCTATCCATTTTGTAAAAAGCTCCTTGACTTGAGATAACTGTTTGGTTGTTCTTGAGTATTTGAAAACAGTGACATAGGAAAGACTAA